CCCGCGAAGATTTTAAGAGAGGATTTTTTTTTTCAAATAGAAATTTTCTAAATTTTGGGACAATATGGTCTGATAAATACATTTATATACATGCTTAAGCCAGAATTATTTGACATTGAAATATGAAATATCCCTACGAATTTAAGGGGCTAAAATCAGGTGTGTTGAGGCAGGAATATACCAAAGACATGTTCCTTTATGGAAAAGTGAAATGAGCACCAAAGACAAACCATTTAAACACCTCCAGAAATGTACAACAAGATCCTCAGTGATTACAAGATGATAAAATACAAATAAATTTGCTTTTATTTTTGTTTTATAATTTTTTTGACAGATCCGTGCTTTATTTACTGTCAAAAACAAAATTCTGGGATGAATTAAAAACTGCATTAAATCTCAGACCTTTTTGGACTTCAGTAAAAAAAAAAAAAAAAAAATCATTTTTACACATTTATTTTATTTTTTTTAAACAAAACCAGTGATGGATGTGGTTAGTGATGCTGGTCTACCATTATTCTGAAACAGTGACAAGTTAAGGATGTTCAGGAGCGATGCAGAATAAAACAGGTGTCTTCTGGGACATCATTGGTGAATGAACTTTGACCTGATGCTTATGTCACAATGTATTGAGAAGCTCCCGTTTTATTCAACTGAATATTAAAGGCAGGAGGTGCATGAATATATCTGAGGTTTTATGTGTAATTTTGAAGCTGCACTGATCATCCATCCATCCATCCATCCATCCATCCATCCATCCATCCATCCATCCATCCATCCATCCATCCATCCCTATCAGGGTGGCGAGGGGTGCTGGTGTCTATCTCCATCTGTCAGTGGGTGAGGGGCGGGGTCCACCCTGGACAGGTCTCCAGTCCATCACAGGGCAACACAGAGACAAACAGGACAAACAACCATTCATACTCACACTCAGAGAAGCCAATGAACCTAACAGTCATGTTTTTTCAGACTGTAGGAGGAAGCCGGAGTACCCGGAGAGAACCCACGCATGCTCATGGAGAACATGCAGACTCCATGCAGAACGACCCCGGGCCGGGAACCTTTTATATATAGTTAAATATGATGAATAAAAGAACATATAAATTATGATTGAAACATCAAATATTCTCTTCTTTAATATTTCAGTCATTTCTGAAACCATTTATTTAACCAATTTTCATAAGAGTTGCACTTAAGGAAGCATTCACAGACTGCCAAGGGAAAATGAGAGAAAAGAGTCTTAACTCAGTGATACATCTATATATATACAGCTCTGATTGATGTCTTACATGGCTCTCACTTTAAAACATAATTTCTGGCACATTGTTGCTTTAAAGTCTTTATGGAAAGTCGCCATATTTATCCCAGCATGAATTATTAACATGCTTAAAGCTCACTTGTCCTGAACATTTATGTGCAATTTACATTCAACTTCCAGCATAATCAAAGATGCATCAGCAGGTATCAGTCATTACGCTCTGCTAAAAAACAAACAATAAAAAGGTTTTAAAGAAAATGTTCTCTCCAAAACATTCCTGACATTAGTATGCTGCTTTTATAATAACTTAAGTCATAAAGAATCAACAAGCAGAATAAATTTGTATATACAAATCATATGGAATATATATTTGAATCTGATGATTGAATCCGGATCAAGGAACAGATGTTAAAGGCACAGAGAAAGAGGAAAATAAGAACGGCACAAATAATGTCAAAACGTGCTCAGACGGAGAGTTAGAACCAAAATATTTATATTTTTTTATATTTTCACTTTTTTTTAAAGGAAAAGTCGCTCATATTCAGAATTCAAACTTCTGAAAGTTCTTTAAAT